AGTTCACGGTGCTCAGAACTTTGGTAAGGAAAGGAGCTGTAGCTATGGTAGTATCACAGTTACGGGACTTGTTGTTCAATTCTTCGACATTCGCATTGAAATAGGGCGCACGTCGAGCAACTCCATTAAGCTGTTTCAGCATCCTCCAGAGTTCGCGACAGCTGCCGTTCCCAAGGATTGACCGGATATACACTTGCATAACTTGGTCTAGCCCCTCCTTTGTACGAACAGTAAGAGACGTTACTGAGGTGCCTCCTTTTTCTTTAAAGGCTTTCTCCTTAAGTCGGCGCAGTCGCTTCTGGTGGGGGAGGAGAACCTGTCAGCGTGAAGGTGGTTTCCTCGGGAAAGTAGATGTCAAAACAGAAATTTAGATAGCTAGTCAAATTGTCACAATGCTCGGATACGTTGAGTCGAAAAATAAAATAAATTCTGTGAATGCAACTATTCCACGACGTTGGTCGATATTTTGTGTAGAGCGCTACCTCCACCTGAACCTTCGCTCACTGCAACGAGTGATATCTTGTGGTTTATTTTGCCAAATGTGAAGGGAGAAATCTCAATTGTTGAGAGATCTGAACTGCCAAACATTTGGCCTGACGGAGCTTTGCTTCAAAAGCGAAACGTTAACCTTCAACTACACTAGCCAGTTGTTTTCAAACCGTTCTGAATTCATGTATTCTCTATCATTTGCAAATATATTTTAGGGGGAAATATTCACTTAGGTTTAATTTGCAGTGTTTAATCTTATGCTTAGCTCTGGTTCTTCTTGAGACAAAGTACGTTCATTGCAGAGGTTCCGTTTCCGTGCGCTTTCAGTGCTACATTTTACGGCTGATTTCGTCTTTTGAAGCCTTGCGTTCCCCGTATTAACTTGAATAACACAATAAGAAGACATATGTTGCAAGATGGTACCATTTCGTCCCCCATCTTCACTTGCAGAAGGACAACATATCAGATGCTAACGTGAACAAAATGAAATCCATGAGATGAAAGAGTGAGGTCACAAGCAAGCGAAGTAAACGGTGCCTATATGTTGAGAAGGAATCCTTAACTCCAAGGGAGGTTGAGTGTAACGAACACTTGCATCGTCTTTGTTTGTGTTATTTGTATTCCATTAGAGATACCCGCAGCTGGGATTGGAGTTCCTCTCGCATTATCTGTCAGCTAACTCTCGATGGTTACGCCGCTGAGCTCCATTAGAAACATTTGGCACGTTCTACTGAATTCCTCGTCTGTTTTTGGAGTACCAGTCATGTATTCGAATGTGAGAGATGATCTCAGGTCTGACCGCATGGCCTCTGGGATCTACTCAGCAGTCTTCGCGCTGTCTGTAGCCATATTGGATAGGTGGACAGATCATGCATGCGTCCGCGCACGTCTCATTCCACCGCATTTTCTCGCCTTTCGACTTCCAAGACAATTTCATTGTGTTTGTTGGTCGGCACACACTGACACTTATAACCTATCCTATGTCTCACATACACGTAGGAAGATGAGGCTGGCACCTTGTCAGAACTTGTGCCATATTTGCTTTTTGCAATCTCTATGGAAACACCCGCTTCGTTTTTCATGGTGACAATCAATCTATTAGCTTACATTCATTTGGTTTGCATTTTTTACAGTCTGCAGACCAAGGCCAACATCACATATCCTATCGGCTCTGTAAAGTAACAACTTATGAATTTCACTAAGCTCATATGTACTTATACAAGTACCCACAAGATCTACTGAGCCATGCCCGTATTTTATGTTTATGCCCTTCCAGTCACGTGGTACATGAAATCTTCCTTGCTTCATTTGGATTTTACAACTTTGTCCCACCCGGCTTGACGGGGATTCGTTTGCACATTACTGGCCTGCAATGGCGGTTATGAACTTATAGTTTCAAGCTTTGAATAATAACTTTCCTCTCGGTCGAATACATTACTGCACCCCAAGATAAAAGCTTGATTGTGTTTCTTCGAGTTTTTCCACCCACACCCATCCCGCTGTGGTGAGATAAAGATTGAAACCACTTCTCTGCTAAATCTCAGTGCGACGGTTCACAACAGGTTGTTCGGTCATATGAAATATTTACTGAGGTCAAGCCATCTTCATATCGAAGAACGCTAACGAAGCGGTCAGACAGTGGTGTCCGGAGCACGGAACTCAGTGTGTGCCAGTAGAGTTTGAATTTCAATGTCGTCCTTTTCGGTTCACATGTACACACTCAAGAATGGATGGTCGTCGTGGTAATGCATATTCTTCATCTTATGTTCCTAAGACATTGAGCAGCTCTCTTTTCACGAAACCATACAATTGGACTATGCCGGGCACTGTGGACACAAATGCCATTTTTATTTACTTGTATCAGTTAATCAACTCACCTCACTGCACTCTTGCATGTTACTGCTGCGGAATGTTGAGGAATGGCACGCCCACTAAACACGTAACCGATGGGCTACAAAATGAAAGCGTGGTTCTCTTTCGTAAACACAATATGCAGCTGCCAGAAAGCGTTGTGTCTGCTGGTTAAAACCGGACTGCTGCGGATGCCGTTTTCACATTTCTTACTCCACGCCGATCAATTTTGATATTAGCTGGTTCTGGTGGAGCGTGCATTTGCAAATGATAGTTTTCGCTAAATGACGGCATTTGCATTGCAAACTAGTTCATTGTGACCCTTCCATAAGTACCAAAACCCAATGCGTAATCAATTCGAACTCACCTACCGGTGACTCAGTCTTTCATGAGTCTAGCTTAAATCCACAGAGCACAGATCCATGCGTACGTAAATGAAGATTTCGCAGTCCCTAATGACCACGAGACTGCTGATGTTCACATGGTGACCCGTGTCTATGGGAAGTATCGGTGTACTGCTAGTACCTACTTGTTTCTTTTAAACTATCAGCAAAATCCACCCTGTGCCACATATGTTTAGTGTATCAAGCCATTGTCGTGTGATAATAGACCATTGACATTGAATAAATTGCTTCTTTTTTTCAAAACCTGGGACTTGTGTCACATATTTCTAGCGTATTGAGTTGATCGTAGTACATACCGATTGATCTATTCTGTTATTATGATTTCGGCGTACGACTCATACACTTAAATGTGTTCACCACTCTGTGAATCCAAAAGGTCATGAATCATAAGTCACCTTTACCGACAGAAATGTGCTGACAAACATGGCTTCAAATCGAGGCCATAGTAGGTAAACTAACGTTACTGCTTTAATGGTGCTTGGGTGAAACAGCTACCCAAACATATGTGAAAATCGAACGGAAATTTGGAACCAACATCTCCCGCTTCCAACGCTGTGTAATTAAAAAATGGTCTCTGGGGCTACTTCGATTGGCCTGATACGGTGGCTAGTGACACCAATCAACTGGAAAAGTTAAGCTTTGCGGATAAGAAAGTGGAATTAGCGCGGTCGGGATTAAGCTCCAACCCTTTTTAGTTGACTAGTAATCACAGGTGATTGAATTTATGATATCAACGTCGAACACTATAGTTGTGGATTCACTCTGGTACTTAATACATTCCATTACAACGAAACTGTTTACTTGGGTAATGCCAGATCTTCGTCGATTCCCCTATGTCCAATAGGTCGCACTTGGTTTTTCTGCTCTGCTTGCTTTATATCCATAAACGGAATCAAGGCTTGTGTAGACTAAGTCGTGGCGAATGGCATCCCAAGCGGAAGGCATGGAAATTCCTCGTTGCACTTTATATTCACCAGCTGCTTGAGCTTGATGTGAAGCATCCTAAACTCACACTGCTAAGTAATTAAACCACATCGAAATAGCACATTATAACTATTATCAACTGCAACCAACATTTTATTGGGTAAACTGATTTCAATTGATTTCGGGTATTCTCAATCAGCCGCATACATACCAACCGAGGTAGGATTAAATGAATACCAACGCCAGTGGATCAATAAGGTAAGCATGTAATATCAGCCCTAAAGATGCGTTAACAACTTATTGGCTCACTTAATATTTTGCGACATCCACACACGTCCAACTGGAGCATGGCATTGTGGGTGAAAACTTTCCTGGCTGGTCATCTGGAAGCAGTTCCACGGATGGCTGTATTACTTCACTTTAATATCTGGATATATCTGCATTTGTCATTGTATACAATTTTCCCAATTTTTCTAGTACATGCAATTTGTCACGCACTCAAAAGATCCGAGCAGTTAGGTGGATTTTTGCGATCCGCCATATATATAGATTAGGCCACTCAGTTGGACTGTGGCTCGCACCATTGAGGAATACACCGTTTATATATATATATATATATATATATATATATATATATATATATATATATATATATATATATATATATATATATATATATATATGGGCGACCATTTGAAAATTACAACGATCGGAGTCAGCCTCTAGCGATCGGATCTACATTTTGCCAACGCAAAGCTATGCTGGTCACGAGTTAAAGTGGTCTGCATAAGTTAGGCTTCAGTTGCTGCAGGGCGGAGGCTTTATCGAACCGGTGAATTGTTGGGGTACTTTGTCTATTGATGACATGGATATTTTCACGAGGGTTTTCATACACTGTGCAATCAAACAGGGGCCGAACAATCGAACTTCTTGGTTCAGTGCGGCAGTACTGGCTCAGCTGCGTGGATGTAAATATTTATATATTGAATTGGTCGGTGGTAGAGCCTTTCATCTCGTTTGATCCCTTTTGAAAGGCTTTGTAATGAACGCCATTGTCTTGGGAACATCGAACGGTTTTTCTTTTCTGACATACTCTTCCCCATATCTGGCCATAATTTTACTGGCGTACTCATAATCACCTAATGTTGTTACAATGCGCCGTAGGTTATACATGGTAGAACCTTCCATGAATTTTCAGCTGGCAGCTAACCCACGAAGTAAACTTAAGTCGTTCTATCCCTTGGAATGTTAGGTTTTCTTACTGTGTTACCTTACCGAAAGGGAGATGGTTGCGTGGAGTTTATCAAGGGATTGACAACAAAACAAACTTACGTTCAATGCGGTCCAGGGCTCTTGGAACTGGGGTGACTTTCAGCTATGGGGCCAACCAGGTCGGTGCATAATGCAGCAGAAAAGGGATGGAAAAATGAGACAGAATATAACAAAAAAATTAGCATGTACTCATAAGTATTGCATTTATAGTGCAATTAGTTGGGAATTCATTGCAGTGGATCCGGGTCCGTCACACATCCTGTAAAGCACCACAGGATCGTTTTGATCTTTTGGGTCTCGTCATTAGTACGCAACCATAGAATCCATCTGGATCTAAACCCATGATCACTAGCGTCATGCGCCACCAAACAGCAAAACTTAGCTTGTAGATCACATAACTACCTGCCGCTGTCTCACAAGTTCTGGTCTCATAACCGGCTAGTGGTCCTCGGTTAGGATCCTGACGCAACCAACCTATACGCACTAATGAGAACTTCTGATAAGATGAAGACGCCATTTAGGGATTTCTGGTAGTTTGGAGGACTATCTAACTTAGAATCGGTTGCAAAGCGTCCTCACTAAAGTAGAATGCACTCATTATTGATGGTACTCGAAAATATCATGCTAATTGTCGGATAGTAAGTACACATGAATAGGGGGGCAATCATGAAGGTGTACACACTTCATTCACAAGAAACGGAAAGCGCTGACGCTGTTCTAACATAAATGGGAAACAAGCAATTTGATGAATCTTATTGCTTTGCCTGTACCCCACTTTTTGTATATGCACTGTGTCACGTAACCTCAGTTTGACTTGAGACTCGCTTTGAAGAGAACCTCGGTTAGTCCAGCTAATGGCAAATAGCTACGTTTTATTTGGTCAACCGTGAAGTGATTGGTTGAGTGTACAAGATGGTAATGCATTTCACTATCTTCCGGGATAATGGAAAAAGAGGCGATTAATGAGATGCTGAATGTAAACCGGCAAACGGTTACCATTTTGAGTTGCCGTAAACACAAGATGGAACTTCCGCCATTTGTTCGGCATACCAGTCTGGTTCTTCTTGCCCATCGTTGGGTATATATGCTAGGTATTTGTGGTTATAGATCTGACTAGATAGTGCGTACTGCACACAAACATTAGAATTTTTTCTTCCCACTGTTCTGGTTTCATATCCAGCCATTGTCTGAGACGTAATGCCCATGAAGCTTCGTTTATTTAATGGCCAGATGTGTTTGACTTAAATCTGGCTAAGCATTAGGCCCGTAGACTCCTTTGCGTTTCGGATCCCTGATTAATCTGTCATGACAAACATTGGTATTTTACACACTCCAGACTAGGAGTGATGCTGGTCAAGAAACACGTACCCGTCACTGATTCAACTCACTCTCTTGTTAGTGCAGGGCAGTCAAAATATCTCATTACTTAGGCTAGACTTGTGATTAAAACCTAGATCATACGAAATGCACGAACAGGGGCTGGTACCACAAAACATCCGTGTTCTAAAACATAAAGGTAATGTTTGCTAATGTTTTGGCCTTATAATCGTAATCCGAGGAGCGGGAAATCCAGAAGTGCATTGAGTAAACGCGAGTTATGAATGCGCTGCACCTCTGTTGACACTCTATTAAACTCCGAAATCAAGAAAAAAACCAGTGGAATCTAATTCCGACGATCTGTAAAACTGGGCTTAAAAACTGGGCTAATTTTGAGCCTTCGACTATGTTCATACCGTTAACCACACTTGGATACCCAGGCATGACACTTGTAAAGTTGAGTTTGTTTTCTAGCAATCTTGTATGAATTTTCAGTTGATCAGTCCGTGAGTGTCTTAACGAAGAAGCACACACTGCTTTCTATTGATCTTTCACTGCGGCATAAGCGAATACCTCGCAGTTGGTCAAAACAACGGAAAGAAAGATGCTACCATTGTCATCCGGCTACAACCATTGGATTAGTTGCTTTTATACTACATCGGTAGACCTTATTCTTGTTCTAGATACCTTTAGACACAACAAGGGCTCAGGTCAGGCACAATGAAGTTGGCGCATTCCAAATGTTTACGTGTTTTGTATTTTGTCGCTTGTTGAATGCCAACAGTTCTGCCTTATCCCGGTAATTCAGTGGCCTCGTATGCAACTATATTTAAATTTTGGTGGGCTAGCTTAAAATGTGACTGAAATTTAAATTCTTAGTCATGTGCTAATTAGAAATGAACAGCGGCTACGGAGTGAAAAACGTACTGCCAAAACGCGTTAGTTAATCAAATGGAGCTTGATAAGTTATGTATGTCCACAACGGACTGATTAGTAGTGGTATTTGTAGTCTTGTAGCGAAAAAACCATGCATCCTTCGGCTAATCAGATGTCAGAATCTACGGATTAAATCGTTTCGGTTTCTAGTTACACTGGTTGCCCTTTCTTCTATTGCAAATAACATTTAAACGTGCTGTTAGGCTGTTACTTTATTAATTTCTGCATAAGGAAGACTGATTTCTAAACATAAATAGACAGGATGTTGTAAATGCTCTATGACTCTCATAATGAAAACGAATGGTATTGTCGAAAAAAATTGGATCGGTTTTAATTTTATGTCAGTTTTAGTCGGTACTACCAGAGGTAAGATTATGCAACCACCTTTTTGTAATTGGGCATAACAATCGTCGTGTACACGCGTTGGCGTTCGCAGGTTTGTATTCGATTGCAACAACCCCCCATGGCCATTAGGGATATACTTTAAGGGGGAGCCTAAACTGGTGCCAGTGTTAATAGCGGCAACGAAAGAGATATTCATACGGCTAGCTTTAAAAGGGGCGCAGTTACTGAGCGTCTAACTCGAAGTATTTCGGGCGCAATTAACTCGACGTTAGCATCAGCCGCGGTAAAGTACGTGTTGGCAACGGAACTGTTTGTCCGTTCAGGAAGCAAGAGAATAGGTTGCCCATGCTGACCACCACAATGGTTAGTTAACCGTTCGAGTGCGCCTGTGACGGAACGTATATCAGTCGAATGGCGCGACACTTGCCCAAACACGTGAATCAACACTGCACACGATGATTGCATCAACGTGGCACTGGGGCCATTAGCAGCTCTATTCTGGCTCATATCGTCGACAGTGGGCATCAGGTGAATCCAAAGCGTGCCATTAGGTTAGTATACAAAGTTCCACCGCACTGATAAAAAAGCCAACGCCTTCCTACATTTGCGACGGCGGAAGCAATTTGTATTCGATTATTTCAACCCGCCTTATGCTCCTCAGTTTACGTGACCAGCGAAAACGGAGGATATTGTGGTCCACGGCCTGCGATCAAACTTCACAACATTGCATTAACCTGATTCGATTTTTCGTATACGTTACTTGCACCAACTGGGTCAACTTTACTATTTTTACCTATAAATGATTATACTTGTATCAGGATGAATCATCGGAAGCAATTGTTCACCAAACGGTCTCTTCGCTCTCATTAATACATGGCTTATGGGATAAGAATTCCAAGAAGTGCACGCGTCATCCTCGCTGAAGCTACGCAAGAAGGTGTATTCCCCCATTTGTAGAGTGCACCACCACATTTGTGGCTTTAAGCTAAAATAACTCGTAGCGAAACTGTTAGAAATTTATGTCTATGCTAGGATTGCAGATTCATGGGGTTAAATGCTTGGTCAAGTGCTCATAATTTCTACTCTGAAATGTTGTACTTCAGTGCACCGAAAACACGCGAAGGGAACGTAAGCGGGCGAGTGTGGTTTCTCAGATCTGTGTAAATCGCATCGGTATGAGATAGCTGGAATGATGAGCACCAGTCAAAGTAAAAGTGTCTAAAATTGATAGTAAAATGCCAGGCTTTCTTGGGAATAACCTGCTTCTTGTCTCAAAGTAACTCCTCAAATACAAAAATTATGCGGGAACAATCATGGGAACTTTATCTGTCTATCTGAATTGCGAGCACATGACATTTGCCTAAGGGGAAACGGATAGTGTCTCTGCTTGCCGGTTTGGAAAGGAACTGCGTCAGCACGAAATCTGTTAAAGAATGAAGGAGGTTTTTGACAGCTTGCGTGTTTATTCCCAATACTGTAGTGTTAGAAAAAACTAGCATCAGAACTGTCCACGTTGGATGTATCCCTGGTTACCTTAGCGGTTGAAACACACTTCAGTGAAAATCATGGTTGCAAATGAGCTTGCGGCGGGTATTCCAATACTAAACAACCAAAATTCATACCAAATTAGCGCCAAATGGTGTCTTTCAAGGTGGAGGATCGCATGGCAGAGGACAGCTTTCCATCCTCATTCGCTGTCCTATACGAAAGCGACTGAATTCAGAATAACATGCCACTATTTCTGAATACTCTTTTATGATAATGTACCTTACTACCTACCGTACTCGCTTTCTGTTGAGCTAAAAACTGGACATTAAAATGACCTGAACAATGTTAAGATCATTAGCATGGGGTTGTTATCGACAATACGAGAGTTAACTGTCGATTTCGTGAAAGTTGCCAGCGCCCGAGACTTTGAGAACGGTATGAACGGGGTGGAGAACTCCAATGCTTGGAGAACTATCTTAATCCGGCGGTCTGGTGAGTGCCGGTGGACCAATCAGGTTGCATAGCGGACACCGAATAATTTCTACCCCATCAGTAACAAGGATTTACCTGTGGTAACCGCGTAAAGTGAACCATTTGAAGCCTTTTAATTCATGATGAGCCGGCTGTGACATCTCTTCGACTTCTTACAGTGATTACACAGTGACACATCCTACGGTCGTAGCGATTATTATCCCGGATTGTTGTATGCGCCACAGCAACCACCTGCCGGCTCACTTGACTTAACGATGACCTTACGTCGAAATGGAAAAGTTTCTCGCCAAATATACTCAACGATCTTTTCAGACCATTAGTTCCTGATTGCTTCCAAGCGTGTTTCGAGAGATTAAACGATAACCTCCGTGAAATCATGCAAATCGAAGCAATTTACATGTAAACACTCAATTTATTTGGGCACCAACCGCCTGTAATGTCACAATGGAGCTTATCGAGCAGTAAATGCACAGTAAACCAAGTAATCAAATAGGCTGTGAAAACCATCATGTAGCAGCAATAGTA